TGTATCTTGGCGCGGAGAATGGCAAGGCTCACTGATGATGCCGATTACGATGCCGGCGAAACGTTTGAGAATGTATCAAGTCCACTGTCAGATGCTGGGAATCATGACAACTACTCGGCAGACGACTTCGGACTCGGTGCGTTCTACATAGTCTCCCTTAACACAAGACCAAGTTGCGACAACGAGGTCAACCCACTTCTAGCAGACGACGTCGGACTAGGTGCGTTCTACATGGTCTCCCTGAAAACAAGACCAAGTTGCTACAACGAGGTCAACCCACTAGTCGCCCTGACAACAAGACCAAGTTGCGACAACGATCACTTTTACATAGCTTTGTTTCCCAAAAGCAACACTTCAATTTTGGCCATCAGTACCAACAGACGGGACTCGAACCGTAATAGTGCAGCATATAATTTCGACACGCTAACCACCAGGCCACACTGCCATGAATGGGTTTGGGTCACAGGGCAGATGTGAATTTCAATAGGGTGAATTCAGCTATTCTATATGATCCAGTGGTAATCTCGATAAACAAGCAAGCCTGTATTTGCTACCATAATCGGCTACATTGTTTATATTTAGATAGAGTGAGTTTCGGAAAAAAAATTAGTCGGAAGGGAAATAATGATATTACCATAGATTTGACTTAGTGAGTATTTGAATGAACCTCAATTAAAATGAAGAAACTCATATAATGTAATTAATTAGCGGTTTATTCTGTACAAAACCAAAGGATCTTCATATTTACAAGAATCGATAAAAGTTGCAGGAACAACAACTGGGTAAAGTGCGTAGTTATTACAGCATTAAAAGCATGATGAATGGATGTCGTCCTAAGCAAATTGCGAGAATTTGCAGAACAATCATAAGCTCATTCTTCTTAAATGCATTTGGTTTATAAAATTCTAGGTATCATCAGTGGATATTTAGAAAATGTTGTGCTAAAGGGGATTCGAACAGAGGCAAGACCTTAAGGGGAAAAGTGAAATTGACCCATACAAATGAATGGTAAAATCCCTGAACATGAGATCAAAGTCCTGATGAAACACTCAATTAATCCCTATGATTATACACACTCAGATGAAGATACAAGAGCATACACATGCAAGAGTCACAGAAGAGATTTAAACTTACACAGCCTTATTGCAGAAATGCAAAAAGGAAAACTCCTATTCAGATTCAAAGAAGTACCTTTTCACCTGATGCGACATTTACATGATTCTGATTACAGATGAATGGTAGGCGACGTAGTTTCAAAGGGGAGAAATAACTCGAGAAGTTAGAAAGAAGAAACGAAGAACGCGGAAACAATTCAGGTGCCTGTACGACGCCACGAGTAGAGGTAGACTTGGCGCTCGGTTAGGAGGGCAAGATGATGCTCGGGTGATTCAGACCCAGGGTTTAGACTAACAGCGCACACGTCGACTACGGGTGAATCGACAGATACTCCGGGAGGCTGAAGAGTCTGAAGACGAGATCCAGTATCGCATCGCCAGATGATGGCACCACAAGATTCCTCGTCGCCAGAAATAACTGCCATGTCTTAACAAGGAATGATAACAAAATACTAACAGTTTCTAGCTAATAAGCATTTAATGGATTCTTTTTGGTTATTCTGCTGTGAATTTGCAGTAAGAATGCTGTATTGCTCTGAAGATGTCTGGCATGTGATAAAAGAAAGCTCAGCATAAAGTTGCTGAGGAAGGACAGTGCCCCAAGCAGTGCACAACTTAAAGTCAAAAAATGTTAACTTCATAGTAAATCATATTTATGATGCCAGCCAAAAAATCAAGACTACTCCTGGACTACGTAGCAGTTTCCGATCAGGGTATTAAACATACTCCTTCATACAACAATTTTAAATGAAATTAATATCATATAAAATAATATACTCTAGTCTATAGATATAATAACAGAGGTAGAAATTCATTACATGTTACAGCTATATAATTAAAAAATACCTTTGTAAAACAAACAGAATTAAGGCTTTGGCCTCCATTGCACATATATTTATATGGCAATTAGTTACAGCCAAGGGACTTCCTACTGACGCTGCATAGATGAAAGATTCCCAAACTTTTTTTAGAAAGACTAATTTAAAAAATTCCTACTCAAATAGGAAGAAAGCGGGAGATCAGAGTCGTGAGCTTTTCTCAGTAAAAATAAGCAGTTAATATAAACATAAAAATTAAGGAGGTTAAATATAAATGTGTGATGGTAAAAAAGTGTTCGTTCTATTAAGTCGGCGCTTAGTGAGGCAAGAAATAGAACAAAGCAAAACGCTGGCGCATTTTATGTACCAGGTGGGTTGAGTCGAAAGTTAAAGCGACTAGAGAAGCTTGCCTGAAACGTGGATGTTGCCATCAGCTAGATGACTCTTTAAACACGAAAATATTGGTAGAGGCAATTTAGGTCTTGAACTCTCTTACTTATATACTTTATGGATTAATGAGAGTTAGCCGATAGAGGTAGCGCTGATTAGACACGCGTTTGTGGATTAATGGGAGTAACATGTGAGCCATCTTATAGCTAATGGAACGAGATAAATTTCACATCTAACGTAGCTTATTAATGCAAGTTAAAAGACGAGTCGTAGAGAATGAGTGCCAAAATTAGTAATTTTGTCATTACTATTAGGCAAGTGGGCAAAAAAATATTGCCGAAAACTAGAATATACTAGAAGTTAGCGCAAAATTGTTAGAATAGAGCTAAAGTGGCCGAGCTTCTCTGTATGATCGAATAATAAAGTGTTCCGTGTTCTATAGATATGCTGAAGGGAGGGATGAAAGTAAAATTAAGTCATTTAAAACTCATATTGGCATGAAAGAAAGCAAATACGATAATCTCCT